TGCAGAGGATGTGGGACGAGGAAAAAGAAAACAGAGCAGCTACAGCTGTGGGAGTAACCAAGAACACTTGGTACTAAAGAACACCCTGTTTTTGTGTCCTTGCTCCCAGATGCCTAGCAGGTTCTCACATATAGCCTAAACATTAATCTTGGACACATACAATGGGATCTTGTTATGTTCACCTAAAGTAACTCGAAGGCTGAGACTCAAGATATATAAAAATAAAGACCGAAGGCGGGCGGCAGCCTTTTTGCTCGAGCCCTCGCTTTGCTTGCACTGAGTGTCCGTGTGTCTTTGTTTGCAGTCGGCGCCCATGAATCTTTCCCAACAGATTATAAGCACACATTATGAAGGCTTCTTATTCACCTACTATTTGTATGTTTATTGTCTACCTTCCCTCAATATCACTGGAAAAACTCAGTACCCAGCACTTGAAAATCACTTGCTTTAAGCACTTGCTCAGTAGGGAATGGGGCGGGTGCTGGGGGAGTCCCAAGGAGAGACCTTCACCTACCTGTAGCCTCCGTAGGAACCGCTCCAGGGCAGGCCTGCCCACTGACCGGATCTTGTTGCGATCAAGGCGGACTCGAGCATCTGGGCGCCCATCAGAGCCTGTGGTGGGAGTGACTGTAACAAGTCCCTCGCCAGCCTCCAGCAAGACCCTCAAGATCACAAAGCGAGCCTGCATGTGGGCCTGCCACACCGGGGAGAAAGGAGGCATTTACAACTATGATATAGTGTATGTCAGTTATTATTGTCATTTTATTCTCCTCCCCACTGTGGGTTCCTTTCTGCCTAGTCATCCCCAAATTGTTCTTCCCACCTCTGCTCACAGGGAGGAACAGGGAGGCCATTTCTAGGTGCCTTGTGTTTTCCCGTGTCACCTACCACACCCTCCACTGCTCCAGACAGCAGCTGCCCTGAAGGCCTTCACCACCAAGAATCAGAGGTCTTTCTCTTCTCTAATGTTTTTTGGTTTTTGCTGTCGTATTGAGGATTGAATGTAGGGCTTCACACATGCTGGGTACATGTTCACTGCGGAGCTACATTCCCAGTCCCTTTTTATTTTTTGAACTAGGGTTGGGCCGGGGAGATGGCTCAGTGGAATAAGCACTTTTGTGGCAAGTGCAAAGGCCTGAGTTTAATCCCCAGTTCTGCCAAAAAAAAAAAAAAAAAAAAAAAAAAAAAAAAAAAAAAAAAAAAAAAAAAAAAAAAAAAGAAAGAAAGAAAGAAATAGGGTCGGGGCCAGGGAGATAGCTCAGTGGAATAAGTGCTTGCCTGGCAAGCACAAGGTCCTGAGTTCGATCCCCACTACCATCAGAAAAAAAAAAAAAAAAAGAAAGAAAAAGAAAAGAAATAGGGTCTTGAAAAGTTGCCCAGGCTGGGTCTGATGGAGACCACTGTTTTATTTTATTTTTTTTTTTTGCTTTTTGGGGGGTACTAGGGACCAAACTCAAGGCCTTGCCACTGAGCTATCTCCTTGAACCAGTGGAGACCACTATGAAGCAGCTTTGAGCAGGAATTAATGTTAACAATTGGCTTTTCATGTTTACATGTGAGTTTGCCAGAGCTCTAGGCCCCTTGCCTGGAGATGGACAGCTAGAACTCACCGTAAGTAAACCTCTAATGAGTCACTGGTCTCCACTGAGGCCTGTATTGGCCTGTGAAGTTTGGATGCCTCAAAGGACAAGATAAGGCCACAGCTGAGGAGGTTTGGCTTCAACCTTAATTAACTAAAAGGAGACTAGAGCTGCAATTTCTCTCCTCTGGAGAAGGCCTTTCTGGAGATAACAAAGTTCTAAATTAATACAATGTACTACTTGGAGAAGTTCTTAAAGGGATTCCCAAGTCCTGCCCAGAATCCTACATTTTCTCCAATAGTCCCCTCCTTTGTTAGCTAACAAAATAAATCTGGGCTTCCTAGAGAAGTTGTCTTAACCCAGGGAATCGTGAATTCTGTGAGAGGGTTTCAATCCTCCTGGAACCCTAAAATCATTTTATTTGTCTCATTTATTTAAGTCTTCACTGTCCACTCATTTGGAAGATTGTGGGCCTAAACAGCCCGTAATAACTAGGGAATAATGTTAATGCAATAGGGTTCAAACTTGTGATTCTTTGCCTTAATCTCCACAGTAGCTGAGATTCCAGGTGTGGCACCAGGCTCAGCTCTCTTCTGCAGTCTTGTTGGTCTTCAACAATGTGACTGTGTATTTTTCAAATGATGTAAAATGGGCTCAAAGAAGTGAAGTACTAGCTTAGGGTCACACAGATGGTAAAGGAAGGGCCAGGACACAGCTCTAAGCTTCCAGAAACTAAAATGTGTATTCTTTTCTTTTGAGCATATGGTTCTGTTTTGGGGGGTTGTTTTTTCCTTAGGTGCCGGGGATTGAACCCAGGACCTTTACACTGAACTCTACCCCCAGTCCTGTAGCCTTTCTTGATTCTGATTTTTTATTTTTATTTTGAAACAGGGTCTTGCTAATTTGCTCAGGCTGGGCTTGAACTTGTGATTCTCTTGCCTCAGCCTCCTAAGGTGGGGATTACAGGCAAGTGCCCACTATGTCTGGCTAAAGTGTATATTCTTTTGATACCATAAGTTGAAAAAAAGCACATAATTCATTATTTCCAAAGCACATAATTCAGTGGCCAAGTCCAATGGCTTTGGAGGAAGATTGTGTGTAGATTTGAATTCTGGCTCTACCTTACCAGAAAGTTAATTAATCTGTTTCAATTTCCTCATCTCCAAAGTGAGGATAAAACAGTATCCACCTCCTGGGCTTGAAACTGGGAGCAACGGTTAACTGACATGAGGTGATAAGCACCATGCATACAGCGCCACATGGTATGTGACCTGCTACAGTAGCACTAAAATCACCTGACCTAATTCACCCTGAAGGGTAGCCAGGGAGAAATTACTGCTCATTTCAGTCAGGGAAACAGACGCTTTCATAGCAAGCACGTGACTTGCTGCACTAGCAGTGGAGTCTGGGATTAAACCAATTACATCTGCTTAGGGGCATAGTTGTCCCATCTGAGGGCTCTACCTGGCCCTACCTGTCGCCAGTTGGAAGCCTCTGGGGTATAGAACTCAAGAGCCAGCAGCCCTGCCCGGACCATGTTGAGCCAGTTCACATAGATCACGTCTTCGGCATCAGCTCCCTCAAAGCCAAAGATCCTGGGGAAGGGAGAGGTGGCAAGGATGAGAAGGGCTCCGCCCTCCGGGGTGACACCTTCCCCCACCCCTCATGCCTGCTGCTCCTACTCCAGCACTTGAGGGTTGAGGCAGAGGTAGAGGCCCACACTCTCGGCACGGCACTCTTCATAACTCGAGGCAATGGTGCTGAACTTGCTGTCCCATGTCTCCCCACTCCGGTACCAGCTCCGAATCTGGTAGGAGAGACCAATGAATGAGGACCCACTGTGCTCACCCTCTCAACACCTGGGCCCCACAAAAGCTGTCCGCACCTGCTCTCCAGTCTCTGGGTTGATCACTGTCTCTGGGTCAAAGTTGAATACTCCTTTCTCATCCTGCAGGAAAAGGGTCATCATGAAAAATAGGGTCAGCAAGAGAGGAGCCCTGAGCCCCAGAGCCCTAGGTCATGGAGTGGCTTAGAAAGGCTAGTGTGGAGAGACAAGTGGATGGCAGAAGCAGCAGGCCCACTGCCATGCGTTACCTATAGTGCTGAGGCCTGGGATACTGGCTGCTTCCCGTGAGCCTTGGGAGTACAGGTGCCCAGCCCTCCACCTAGAATCCTGACTTGCAGGTATGGAGGCATTAGCCACTCTCCCTGCTGCAAAGGGGGCAAGAGAAGACCAGACAGCACCTTGGGAAGTTGTGCAAAGACCCAGACCTGAGGTTTCTAGATCCTGATCAGATAGATGCTCTAGTGGGAATAGAGGCAGCCTGGGCACTTCTCCCCACACTTCCAGGCCCTCTCTCAAGTTGCCAAGTATATTTCAGGAATTATCCGTTTTATCTTCACTTTGTCCGCTTAAGTCCTCCAAGGAAGGCTCTATCGTTACCTCATTCATAGATGAGGAAACCAAGCTTAGCAGCAGCCCCAAACTGTACTGTGTACACTGTCTCTTCACATCCACACTGATTTGCTGAGAGCATACTCTGTGCCAAGGCATCCTATCCACCTTCATTTTTATTCATACCAACAGCCCCTAGGGTAGGGTCAGGAACACTGTTGCCTGGATGAGCTGACAGAGGCTTGGTTACGAGAGTCAACTTGTCCAATGTTACAACATGGACAAAGCCTGGACAGGACCCTTTCAGCTGCTTTCCGCATGCTCTTGACTTCCCAGGCTCACTCTGCTCCATCCTGCCCCTTCCAAGGAAGCTGCCCACCTACAGAGCAGGCCGGACCCAGAACCAAACAGCCCCTCATCATTTCGTCCATGTGGCTCCCTGCTGGAGGCCTTCGAGCTTCTCACCGTTAGGAAGGCTGTTTATCTTTCTCTTCTTTCCCTTATTTTCTGTGAAACGGGGCTGGCTCTGTGCTTCTTACCTGTGCAAAGAGCTTGCCGCTGCCATGGCCCAGTAGTTCATGAAGGCCCACCTGCACGTCAAAGGAGGGCCCCTTCCAACGGGTATACAGGTCCTGCCGAGACAAGAGGGAGAGCCGCTGTCAGCTATCCTGCCACAGCCACCCACCCCCAATGTCCTGTGTTCCCAGGTTGAAGGCCCATCATGGTGTCCATGCCAAGTGGGCACATAGCCCATGGCCCAGCTCATTCCTGCAAGGACCTGGGAGGGAGGGATGACCTCCACATGTGACCAATGAGGAAATGGAGGTCCATGGGGCACATGGCCACAGTCAGGAAGTGACAAAGGCAGGGCCAAAGCTATCCTCTATTCTTGCCATAGCACCGGGCGGTCAGACTTCTTAGATTCATTGAAGCCAGACCCTTGCACTGCTGGTGCCCACCTTGTCCTCCTCCTCCAGGAATGTCAGCTTCTCCCGCTGCGTGGTATAGGCAACCGCTAGCACATTCCCCAGTGACACATTCTTAAAGCCTTCTGTCTGCCTCAAGTCATCATCTGGTAGGAAAAGCAGGAGGGGACCAAAGAGAAAGGCAAAGGTCAAAGGTTACACAGCAGGAGGAGGAGACTAGGAGGGCGAATGGCAGTCTGCCACCAGCCTGGGATGATAGCTGCCACATCAGGTTCACTGTCATAGTGTGAGTCAGAGGGTGGTTCCCATGGGTTTAGAGGATACCGTGGAAACTCACAGTTGGGGATGTTGATGCCAGCAGGGATGCCAGAGCCTGCGAAGGTGAGCACATCCAGGGAGGTGAAGTCTGGGGTGAGGAACTTGTCCTTCTCAAAGGCCGGGGGCCAGGGCAGTTCCTTCAGCAGCTGTTCTGCACTTGCTACCAGTCGCTCAAACTTTGCACTCATGGCCTTGTTTACCATGGCCACGAAGCCTGCAAGAAAGTGAGGGTTGTGGCTTGGCCAGGTTCAAGGAGGGATCCCACACCACCCTATTCAACCCTTCCAGGCACTACATGTATATTAAATGCCTGCTGTATGCAGCGGCCCTGAGCTGACAGATGGGGACAACAGTGACCCATGCTTGGGCCTACAAGATCAGGTTCCAGGAAGCAGAGCTGTGGGTATGAGAAGTCTTGGCCCTCTCAAGCCCCTAGGCCTAGGTCCACAGCTCAGAAACGCACTTTGGTGAGCTGCTGGTACCTTCTCTTCTTCCAGGCTAATCCCTGGCTACAGCAGCTCCTTGTCTGGAGCTGGGAAGATGAAGGTGGGCAAAGCTAAGTCTAAATCCTCAAGATGAAAGCTCTGTCTCAGGCAAGTGGCTCCTGTGCGGACAGGGGCCAAGGCAGCCTGGGATGACAGCTGCTGAGTCAGGTTCACCGTCATGGTGTCTGCTCTGGTCACCAAGTGCAGCACTCTGCATGTGTGACCTCACGATGCTCAGATACCGGGTTGTTTGGTTTATGGTCACAGAGCCAGGGGTGGGCAATTCTAAGCCAGGCTTAGAATGTTCATGTGTCTGCCTGGAGCCTATGTCCTGACAAGACACCAGAACCAGCACAGCAAAGGACTCAAAGCCCCATGGGGTTCCTGGGCTCAGTCACCTACCAATAGATAAAAATCTTCATAGGATGGCAACATGTAAACAAGTCCATATAGACAACCTACGTAGCTTTGTGCAACCGTGCCTGGGGTGGGATAAGCACTATTTATTTTCCGCAGCTGTTGTCATGGTTATTTCTACCGGGAGGTGGAGGAGAGGACTCTAGGGGACTCTTGTAAGCATGAACATGGACCTGGGAAGAAGGGACTTCTTGTATCCCCAGCAAGTACCTTCGAACTCTCCTCGGGAACCAAAGGGATCACGGTAGCTCTCGATGAATCCGATGTAACTGGGGGAGAGAAAGGCAAAGATGGAGAAGGGCAAGCACAAGGGGAGACAGGTGAAGGCTGGCACCTCACCTCTCCACAATGGGGCCCTTGTCCTGAATCCAGAAGCGGGAGCCCCTCTTGTGGGCCTCGATGGAGCCCTGGGTGAAGCTCTCCACATACTGGGCCAGCATCTGCTCCTGGTGGCTGTTGGCTGCGTAAGCCTGAGGGGTGAGCAGAAGCCTGTCAGCCTTGGGCCATTCAGATTCCCAAACCCCATTTGCTGCCCAGAGGGGTGCTGAGCCTATAGCCTTCAGCCAGTCCCACCTTGGCTTTCTCCAAGTGCTCTACGACCTTCTGGAGGATGGGAGCATAGTCTCCCCGGGTCACACGGAAATGGTTCCCTTGAAATTCATAGCTCTTCAGTTTGGAAGTCACTTCGGAGACTGAAGCAGTATCTGAGGAAAGAGGGCTGCCTCAGGGAAAAGGCCAGTGCAAGGCATCTTAGCAGCCTTTCCACCATGCAACACTCCTACTCTAAGATCTTTAATGGCTCCCTACTGTCAACAGAAATTAACACAAACACTCATTTCCCCCCCTAAAAAAACACTTAAGAAACAACACTGTGAGTGTTTTACATGTGTTAACTCATTTAAACCTCATACTGATCCTGGCAGAAGGGGGAAATTACTTCCCTAGGTAGCCCAGTCTGGCCTCAAACTCGGAGCAATCCTCTTGCCTCAGCCTCCCAAGTGCTGCAATTACAGATATGTACCACTGTGCCCAGCTAGTAAGTTTGTTTTCTAAGGTCACATGGCTAGCAATTTGCAGAGCAGGGATTCAAACACAGTACAGTAGGTTGTACTTTAAAAACAACAACAACACATCCCAAAAGTATTCATTACAGTCTTTATAATTAGGCAATAGGCTGAGAAGTAGAAGCTCTGATCTCAGAAGAAGCTGCAGTGAAGGGAGGAAGGGGCCACCAGCCAAGGAATGCAGTCAGCCTTCAAGAAGCTGGAAAAGGCAAGGAAACACTCCCCTGAAGGCAGCAGAAGGAACGCAGCTCAGCTGCCACCTTGAATTTAGACTCTGAACCACCAGAGTAAGAAATAGCTATGTGGTGTTTTGACCACTAAATTTATGATAATTTGTTCCAGAAGTAATGAGATACGATACACTGCTATATTCTGCTTGCTTTCTCCAATTAACAAAATATACAGCTGTCCCCCTTTATCCACCAGTGATATATCCCAAGGCCCCCAGTGGATATCTGAAAGCAAGGGTAGTACTGAACCCTGCGTCTACATTTTTTCTTATACATACAAACCTTTATTTAAAAAGCCCTTTAGCTTATAAATTAGGCACTATAAGGAATTAACAGCAATAACTAATCAAAATTAAAACAATTTTAACAGTAGATCATGTTATTTAAAACAAATGGACTTGTACAGCAATTAACCACTAAGAAGAATATATGCAGTGTATTATTTGTTGAAACTGTACTTCCGTTTGATGTGAAACTGTCTCATTGCTGTTTATCAATAAAACTTTGAAAAAAAAATTAAAAAATAAAAAATAAAAAATGAAACAAATGGAGCCAGGTATGGTGGCACACTTCTGTAATCCCAGCACTTCTCAAGGAGGAGGATTGAAAGTTTGAGCCCAGCCTGGGCAACACAATGAGATCTTGTCTGAAATTTTAAATTTTAAAAAGTAGCTGGGGAAGTAGCACAGTGCAAAGACCCTGGGTTTAATCCCTAGTACTGCAAAGCTAAACTAAACTAAACTAAACTAAACTAAACTAAACTAAACTAAACTAAACTAAACTAGACTTAAACTACGCCACACTTAAAATAAAATACACTAATGAACGATTTACTTCTGGCAATTTCCCCTTCTGTATTTTTGGGCCATGGCTGACCCCAGGCTTGTGACTATGGCAGAAGTGATGTCATGTGGCTCTCCAGGGACACTTACTCTTGGAGCTAAGCCACTGTGGACTGTATGAAGATGCCACACGAGGTACTTTGGTGGACACTTCCAGGTGAGGTCACAGCCTATGGCTGGTGTCTACAGGTGAACCTTCGGGTGACTCCAGCCCTCTCCATGGTTCAGACACTCAGCCAAGAACCAGATGTTCCTACTATGTGCTCCATCCAACTCCTGACCCACAGAGGCTGTGAGCGCAAAAGGTGGTTTGCACCCCTACCTGTTGGGGATGTCACATAGCCACAGATAAGGGATACACCCAGGCAGCCAGGTTTTGGAGCCATGCTCCTTTTTTATCCCTTACAGTGCTTGGAGTTGAACCTCAGACATTGTGACTACTATGCAAATGTTTCACTGCTTTATCACTGTCTGATCCAGATCCTGTGCCATAAATACAAGCCTAGCCTCTACTCTGTGGGATCTCCTGAACTCGTATCCTTCTTTTCCCTGGTCAAATCAGACTGCTTGCTGGTCCCAAAGCTTCCCCACCATGCTGCTGTGACTTGTGCCCTTCTCTTCTCCTGGGGGATAATCCTCACATACTCTCATTTATTCTGCTCAGCACCTACTAAGTGCTAGGCACTGGGGAGACAAGCATGATGGAAGTACCCAGCCCTTCCTCCTGGGAGGCTCACAGTCCAGTAGGGAAAACACAGAAGTGACTGGGAAATTACTGTGTGTGCTCATGGGAACAGAGAGGGGTGGCACAGAAGACAGGGAAAGGTCTCGGTAAAGATGACTTTGTCACCTGGCCTGGACAATGAGTTGACTGGATGAATACTAAACGTGGAGGTGGAAAGGGGTTCTGGGTAGGAAGGGGTCAGAGGTTGTACCACGGCCTGGAGAGAAGATGTGGGAACGGAAGCTGTGGGACACAAAGTCTGAGCTGGCTGGGGGCTGTCAAGTTTCTTGATATAAGGGCAAGTTGGGCATGGTGGCCCATGTCTGTAATCCCAGCACTTGGGAGGCTGAAGCAGGAAGGTCCCCATGAGTCTGAGGTCAGCCTGGGCTACATAGTGAGTTCAAGGCCAACTTGAACTATATGCCAGGGATTGGGGGGTTGTGGGCAAGTAAAGAAGGGTTTCTTTTCTGTCCATATTGTGTCCTTCTGCCCTCACCTCAGATCCCTCAATACTATCACTCCCAGTCCACATAGTTTTGGGAAGGGCTGAGCTTGTCCCTCGGTTCCAGGGAGGGCTTGAGATGAGAGAGAGACAATCAGACTTGTCAGATAACAGAGGACTCCAAATGGAGACTACAGCCACTCCCAGGTCTTATGCAGGAACTCCTGGGAAAGCCAGAAGAGCCAGGTCTCTGTAGAGTGGCTGGTCTGTAGAAGACGCTGGGAGAGAGAGCAGGGTCTGACCCACCTGCACTGAGTACGGAAGCCAGCCGCACCTCGTAGCAGGGCTTCCCTTCCTGGTCCACTTCCTTGAAGAGACGCGTGTTGTAGGCACTGAGGTTCTGGAAAAGACCAGGGTGGGGTTTGGGGCAAGAGTGAGGTCTGAAGAGGGCAGGAGCATGGGAGAAGGGGAAGCAGGATGGCCCAACAGACGAGGGTCTCCAAGAATCTTCCCAAGCTGACTGAGAGGGCGAGCGAGTGTGGCTAGTTGGGGCTGACTGCCCTGCCCTGCTCTGCATGCTGAGCACTAACTCAAAAGCATGGACTCAATAATGCCAGGCACTGCATGACCTCGGCCAACACAAGGCTTCCTGAGGCAGGAACCATTTCAGACACACACCAGGGCTACATAGGTGGTGAGCAGCTAAGTGACACATGGGCTCCAGAGCTCTAGCTTGGAAGTGTAGCTCTGATATTCTGCTTCATCCTGCCTGTCCTGGCTGTCATCATAATGTGACGGGTAGGGTTGCTCTATCCCAGGTACACCTGGTAGATCTCTGTCAAGTCTTAGTTTGTGCTAGGCTGACACACTTGTACCAAGAATTTCCAGAGTTTCTTCCACCTCAAAGACCCAAGATGCCCATGTCTCTGGGAACAAGCTGAGACTCACGGGCAGATATCAGCAACAAGGAAGCTGGGATAAGGAGGCCGCCCTGACAACTGCCCTGAGGATAACCACCCTGAGTCCCCAGTCCCCAAACCTGGGAGTCCAGAAAGTCTTGAGCCAGTTTGGCATCTTCCATGGTGCAATCCCCAGAAAAATAGGTGGTGATTCCCTGTCAGGAAAGAGAAGGGATGTGGGAAAGAGCAGCTGCTAAGGTCAGGGGCTGGGCATCTGCAGAGAAGGCCGGAGGATTCCTTCCCAGGCTTCCTGCACCTGGGCCCAGCAGCTTCCACCCCTCCATCATGGTTCAGGGGAGAAGCTGTAAAACAATCATCTTGGGCCTAAGGCTAAGCCCCTAAGGCTTGCCATGTCTTCTCCATACAAAACACAAGCAGCCTCCAGAAGCAGGAGGAAGCCTAGGCACCCATCTTCTCCACATCCCTTTCTCAGTGCCCCCTACCTCCCAGTTCTTTTCTCTAGATTTCACTGGTTTTGTTTTTGGTTGTCTCTCTCCTCACCCCCGACCCACCCCCGCAATACTGGGGATCAAACTCGGGACCTTGCACTTGCCAGGCAGGCGCTTACGCTGCTGAGCTATCTCCCTGGCTCCTCCCAGTTTTTTTCTCCTTTCCTCCTCCCACACAAAGCATCTTGGGAGGTCAGATGGGAGAGGCTTCCGAAACCATTCCCCCAGGTTGCTCCCCATTTTACAGATGATAACACTGAGGTTCACAAAGGGGAAGACCTCCGCTTCAAGAATGGGAGGCAGAGCCCACTGTTTTATCATCAGCTGCCCTTTATAGCAAGGGGCCTAGAAGGACACCCTCCTTCCAAGCTCTTAAGGACCTCACCTCCTTCCCCAGCCCGAGGTGCCGAAGCCTGGGCTCCAGAGAGAACATAAGCTCTCCACAGGTCTGCCAGAGGGCTCTGATTTCTTCTGGGTACTGTTGCATGGCCTCGCTCCCCAGGATCACACGTTCCAGCTTCTCCTGCAGGAGTAAAAAGGCCATTGGCCCAGCACCCCCAAACCTGCCCTCCAGAGCTTCCTCCATTTCCTAGCCTTTCATCCATACTCTAAGAACCAAGGATGTGATCCAGGGACCAACAGCACTGATAGGGCCTAAGAAGTATCAAACTTTAGCCCCTGCTAAACCAGATGCTGCATTTTGACATCACAGGCAACACATGCAGGCAGTATAGTCTGAGAATCCTTCATGCACAAACTCTACCTACGCAGTACCTGGTGAGACTGAGTGACCTCCACACTCACACAGCATGGCAGTGACAGGGCCAAGGCTCTGCTCAGCTCCTCTGACTCCGCTGGGGGTCCTTCTGCTGCCTTCCTTACTCCCAACCCGGAGGCCCTTGTTCCCCACCTTTCCCAACTCTCCCTTAGCTCACCTTGGGCAGGTTAGGAACAAACTTGGTGTCACCAAAGGACTTGTAGTTGCCCATATTGGAGTAGACCCCTGCAGCATAGACCAGGAATGCCTGAGGGGGGAGGTGGCATCATTAGACACCTGGCAAGCATAGACTCCCCGCCCCAGGGAAGGCTCCCACAAGACAAGAATGCTGGGTCAAACAGTATGGGTGAGGCTGGGAAATCTCCAGGCAGGGCCTAGGTTATGGGAGGCCCCAGTCAGACCCAATGTTACTTTCACAAACCAATCTTCACTCCCTCATGGTCCAGCCAAACTGGTCTTAACAGTGTGCAAACACACCCAGGCATCTATTCACCTTTGTTTCTGTTACCCCCACCCCGCTCCCATACCCTCCCAGCCACCTGTGGCTTGTACATCCTTAATGCTCAGTTTCAACATGACCTTTAATTGGACAAAAAATACACAACAAAAACAATGAGACAAAAAAAAAAAAGAAAGAAAGAAAGAAAAAAGAAAAAGAAAACAAAAAAACAGGAGACAAACAGAACATTTAATATTCTTCCCAGAGTCATGCAATGTGGTAGAGAACCAATAATTCCGGACTCAGGCCTCCCTCCTCATTCCCACCTTGACTCTTTCCTTAGCCTTCTCTGAATATCTGTTAAAATCATTGCAGCCACCATTTATCCTGAAGAAGGCACGGTTCTAAGTGGGTCACTACAAGGTAGGAGGTACAGAAAACCCACATGCATATCTTACAGTTGAAGACTGGACCTCTGCGAGAGGCGGTTCCAGAGTTTATAACCTTGGGTCTAGTCCTTCACTTACTCCAAAATAAGAGACTGGTTCCTCACACCCAGAAGCCACTCAGAAAATGAATGTTGACCTGAGCAAACTGACCTGATACTCCTCCTCTGTGAGGCCCTCAGCCAGAGCATGTTGGCGCAGCTGATCAGGGTCCTGGGCCCGAAAGAGGCGGCTGAGCAAGGCATAGATGTAGGGGGCCTCAGGGGAGGTCTGCAGTAGCACAGTCAGGCCTCCATACCAGGCAGCCCGGGACAAGTGGTGGGCATAAAGGCGCTCTGTGGGTGACAGCAGGCGGAAGGCCTCACGGCAGTCCAGGGTAGACACACCAATGTCATTGGGTAGGATGTACTGGGTATCCGCCATAGGCTCTGTGGGGAACCATCACCATCATCACAACCATCAGATAGCATGCACTGGCTGCACACCCAGTGTGCCCTAACTCCCATGAGCCCGTATCATCCTTCCGAAAGTCCTGGAGCACCAGATGCGCTGAGACTCAGGGAAGGCTAAATAACTCACCAAGATTACAAAATACACTAGTGGGCCATATTTGACCCCCTCGACTTTAAGGCTGAATCCAATAACCTAGTACTACAGATAGGGAAACTGAGGCCATACGGCAGTTTTACTTAATCACACAATGGAGAGGGCAGCAGTTGAGATCCTTAGGTTCTAACCCTGGCCGGGTACCAGATTTTTAAAAATCAAGCAAATTGCTTTATTTTTCTGTACCTCTCTTTTTACCTCTGTGAAAAGAATGACCATCTCCCAAACCTCAACAGGAGGGTATGCAAATTAGGTAAGCTCAGCCTTAGGCAGGATGTACCCACCACAGCAAGGATCTTCCTGGTGCACTTTTCTTTCCTTAGGGCTCGCGGCCATCTGTCGCATTCGCATCCTTTCTACTACATTTCTTCAATCTTCTCGCTTTCTCCTCGTGTTCGGCCAGGGGAGCCACAGAAACCCACAACCCATTTTACAGATAGGGAAACTGAGACTTGGCCAGGTCAAGCAACTTACCAAAGTTCTCAAAGCTCGGTTGGGACACGGAGGTCTCCCAACCCACAGCATTCTTCAAGCCTCCTTTCAGACCGGAAAGGAATGTCCGGTCTCCCCGCCCCCGCCCCCGCCCCCAGCTCCGTCCCTATAGCAGAATCCCCCGGGTTCTAAAAGAGATGTTAACTCTTGCTGTCCTGAACGCTCCCGGGCTTCGAGGTCGAGAGAGATGCTGAAGAGTGTAGCAGAAAGGGAATAATCTTGCGCTTTGCCCAAACTCGCTCTAATTTCCTGAAAAATGATACCTGGAAACCCCGAAACGCAGGCGCCGCGCCTCACCTGCAGCTGCTGCTCCGTTCGCAAACTCACTTCCTGCTTCCGGCTACCCCATTCACTGGGGCTCCGCAAGCTCCGCCCCCACTGGCCAATTGCCTGGCCCTGGGACCCAGACGGGCAGTGACTTCAGCCAATGGGTTCGTAGAATCGAGCCCCTCTCATCCGCCCCAACCACTGCCCTCCCCCGGAGCTCTGGGTGGTTCTAGGCTGGGTTACAGTGGCCTTGGCCTTTTGTCCTCCCGCTATGCTTGCCTGTAGCCCAGCGCCTTGGTGCCGTGGCTGTGTCCTGGTCCAGGCAGACGAAACTGACAAGGTCCCTGAGCCCGGACAAGGCTGGTGTGGGTGTCATGGGTGGAGCACTCAGGACCTCCCCACAAGACAGCCTCACGTCCCAGAACTCAGCTTTGCAGGTGGGAACCTGCACAATGGAAGTAATGTGGCTTTCCCTGGGTCTGGGGAGGAGATTGTTCGGAGATATTGGGGCACCCGGCGCTGGAATCCAAGCCACGGACGGACTAGCGGGCTAGGGCCCACCTAAGGTGGTCCTACCAGAACCGGGATGCAGAGGAACGAACACTCCCAGGGCTTCACCGCGGTGCCACAGACTCGCCAGGGGCATGGGGGCCGCCGCTAAACATTTACAAGCCTCAGTTTCCCTGGCACACAAGGGCGAGGGCAAGGAGGAGCTAGTGGTTTCTTGGTGTTTGCCGGGTGTTCCATACATGAGAAATTCCCCTGCGTTCCCTAAAAGACAGTCCGTGGCCGGCCGAGGCAGTCCTGAATTCTGCTCCCCCAACTCGGGAGTGACTGGGTACTGCCCATAGAAGTGGTTGGTGCTGGCATAGTGGGAAGCGTTGCGAGGGCCACCGTTCAGAATTAAGGCAGAGCCAGGTCGCTTAGAGGGACAAATCTGGTTTCTGTCACCTACTGGCTGTTTTACCTTATGTGGGTCACTTTATTCTTCCAAACTTGGCTTCATTGATTGAAAAACGAAACTAATGGAATCCATTCCGAAATATTGTAGGCTTCAGTGACTGTTGGCTGGGCACAACTGTCCCTAAGGGTGTATGTGGTGGTGAAGTGTTTGGGAACTGAAATTCCTGCGCTCTCCTTGCCATGCCAATTTCTCATTCATGGAGGTGCCCAAGGTCCCGCTCTGCACAAGAGTGCTACTAGTTGTTGGCTCTGATGAGGGCTGTCATTGTAAGGGGGGAGTTCAAGAAAGGGGTGTGTCCCTTAGGGATGTCACCTTTTCTGTGCCTCACTTTTCATTCTTTAAAACTGGTATAAAGTTGAAGGATTCAGGTGAAGTTGAAGTTAATGCAGGAGGTTAATGCCCTGGCACCATGTCCCTGGCAGCAGTGGACAGCTCAAGCAAGGAACAGATCCAACAAACTGCACCATCCCATTTTTATGACTGTAGCTAATGTAAGAATATGAGCACTTACTAAGGTCCTTTGCCAGCAGCTTGCCATGGAGAATCTCTTCCAAATGGCTGAGATTCACTGATATCTCTAAGGTCATGCAGCATGTCTTCAGGAGTGCCTAGTCCTATCTGGCTTTCTGACACTATTTGCTCTACACACACACACACACACACACACACACACACACACACACACACACACAGAGTTAGGAAGTCTACTCACAAGAGCAATGGCAATCTCTACCTTAGCTCTTTCCCTGAGGGAATTAGCTAGTGATAGGTGGGGAAGTAAGATCAAGTATCTATGTCATAGGTATGTATCTTCCTTACATTCACAACCGCCTGGGAATGTAGGACAGTTATTCCATTTAATGCTGTAGCAACCAAGGCTCCAAGAACTGGTTGGGGTAACTCAGGGCTGACACCTCCCAGCAATATCTCCCAAGTTTTACCCAATACCCAGGGTGGTACATTTGTCTATCTATTCCACAATATGAGATTCCCTGCTAAAAATGGGATCAGAATATTCTAGTCTCGACTAGAGTCAGGAAAACTGAGGACTGCATTTCTATTGTTTTGTGTGGGAGTTTCCATACCTTGTCTACCATTGCCATTTGCCCTTCATCCCACTGTATCTGTGATGCTCTGCAAGCAACGATTTGATTACATTTCCTTCCTCTTACCACACATGGCGCTCTCTGTGCCAGCCCAGGTCTGGTCCCTGGCCCCTACCCTATGACCACAGGCATGTCCCTCCCCATGGAATCTGCACTAAGGTTCTGGCACCTGCTCTGTACTGGAAACAATGCCCAGGTCATGCCTACACTCACGCCTTTCTCTTCCCCTCCCTAGAAAATGCCTGCCACTTGCCTTCTTGGGAATGCTAGGAACCAACCCCAACAACCCTAGGCTCACAGAAAGAAATGATGTTCAGTGGGGTCCAGCTCAGACTTGGCCTCCACGGCAACCAGGGTCCAATAGGCTCCAGCCCAACCACTCCCACCCCACCTTCTTTTGCCCCCTTGGTATTTTTCTCTTTTTTTCCCTGGTATTTTTCTTACAGTGCCCTGTAATGTCCTTACCAGGGCTACCCACCCAACTCCACCATGCCCCTGGAACCTGCCATTTCAATATGGTCCAGGCTTCAAACCATTCCTGTGCCTTCTTGGGGTCATCAGATCTCAGAAGACTCCAGCTTGGCTGATGGCCCACTGCATTAGGGGATACCAGTGGGGAACAGGGTGTGATGCTCAGCTTCAGGAGGTCCCTCTTCAGACCAGGAACTGGACAGGCAGGGTCTTACTCTTGCTATGATCCTGCATGGAGCAGGGCACCGAGCAGGTGGGGGCCTACCAGTCTGTTCGTAGCCTCGCCATGGGACAGACCCCCAAAATGCCGTTTAGCCCCACCCATTAAAGGAAAGCCCATGTGATGCAGTGGGACATACTCTGCCACCAAATGGGCAGTTATAGGTTCAAATTCTGGCCCAGATACTGGCCCATGGGTTCAAATCCTGGCCCATGCAAATTGTGACCTCCCCACACACATACACATTACTGTGAAGATTAAACAACACAACCTCTGAAAAGCAGAGCCCAGGGCCTGGTGTGTAGTCAATGAATGCAGTTGTTATTACCATCAGCACAAGGTGGACACATGGGTGGCATTTAGTGAGGGTAGCCCTTGTGTCAGAGCCATCACTCCGGAGCATGTGTCCCCCTTTCCTTTGTCAACTCCTGGCTGTCCACAAATCAGGATCTAAGTCTTCTATCCCATTCTCATGGCCCCACCTTCTCCAGTTCCAACTGCCCACTGCAGCCCTTGCTCCAACCCCACTAAATCAATCACTCAGCCCCTGTTCCTTATCCCCAGCCTGAACACAATCTGTAGAATGCCCAGCTATTCTGTGGGCCTGGAGGAGGCTGAGTTCCTATGCTACTTATTGCATAAAGCATTGCTCGCTTACCCACAGCCAGCAAGGTCTGCTCCCCAGATTCTGAGATGCTCTGATTTTTTTTTTTTTTTCTTGCAGAACCAGGGATTGAACTCAGGCCCTTGCGCTTGCCAGGCAAACGCTTATTCAACTGAGCTATCTCCCCAGACCTCTGATCTTGATACACATGAAATTACCCATCATCTGATAATTTGGTCCATTCTCCATTAGTCTAGGAACTCCAACAGGCAGGAAAGCTGACTGTCTCTGTGTTCCTACACTCCACTCGGCAGAATACAGCCCATAGTAGGCATAAGCAAATACCAGTCTCAGCCTATTACCAACCCATCACTTGCTCAGGGCTGGAGGCATTGCATGCATGTCGCACACACATTTCAGTGAGGGCAGCTGAGCAGCAAGGTTTATAGAGAAACCCAGGTCAATAGCAAAAAGGATGAATATCTGGTATTGGGTTGGCAGGCTCAGAGTGCAGTCAGCCTAAGCTGGGGGTCAGTGACCGTAGCCCCTTCACTCCCCCAAGGGCACAGTGTAGGCGGCATGATGTGGGATACCCCAACAAAGGCAGAGGCAAGGAGCTGGGATTCCCTTCAGCAATCAGGAGCAAAGCTGTTGCTGAAGGCCCCATCAGTATGACTGGGGTAGAGATATTGGGGACCCCCGTAGGGGTCAGAGTTAGGGAGAGGGTCACAGCCTCTCCAGTGTGTCCAACCTGTGTGGCTATGTGCCAACAAGTAAAATCCCACATGCAGAGCTTTATCTGGGCTGCAGGAGGGGGGACCTTGGTGGGCAGTCAGATGAGACAGCAAAGGTCCAGGAGAGCCTAGTCCAGTGGCCCCTGAAAAATGAGGCGGACGCAGCCATGCTCACCAGTGAGCCAGGCCCCACAAAAGGGACAGGCAGCATGGAAAGCATGGGTACCATGGGGCAGCGGTGTCTGGGCCCAGTAGCGGGCAGTCTTCTCAGAGCAGACATGGCCACAGGGAGCAAAGGCATGGCTGGGTGGCCCAGGGTCCAGGCAGAGGCCAGCCTCCTGGCCAAGCCACAGGGGCACATAGGGCCCTACGAGGCGGCAGAGAGGACATTCGCGCTCCTGGGGGCCTCGCTCCCGCCGGCAGCCCCAGCCATGGTAGCCGTGGACGTGGCCACAACGGACGTAGACCCAAGGTTGCTGCTTGTCAGGTGCTGTGCGGCCCCGGGCTGGACTGGGGAAGGCCAAGGTACTGAGGCCCACGGGGCACTGGGGCCGTGCTGCATTTGCTTCCTGCCGCTGGGCCTCTAACTGCTTTAGCGTGGGTGCCCGCAGCAGCCCTGCCGGAGTGCGCCACAGCAGCGTGGCCCCACACAGGTCGATGAGCGAGCCGTCTTGCAGCACGTTGGATTCATTTTCCACCTGCCAGAGGCAGCAGAAGGGCCTTAGCCCAAAAGGCCCAGGCCCTTGCATCAGGCAGCCTCATCCCAGGCAAGCTGCCCCTCCATCCCACTGACACTATCTGCAGAGGGCACATCAAGAGGCCATGTGGGAGGACAGACAGGTGGTCCCTAGCCACATGCTGTCGCTTTCTCTCAGTAGGACCTGGATTGTCAAATTGAGGTCTAGACCAAACCAGGATTTTGCAAAAATTTCCTGAAGCACTCCCATAGTCACAGGCACAGGACATATTTCTCACATGGAATGCTGGATATTTGGCCCAAAGCAGCTGTCCTAGGGGTTGTGGGTAACACCAAGGACTCTAGAGCCAGAATTCCTGCACTTGAATTCTGACCTCACTATTCAGTAACTCAATGTCCCTGGTAGAACAGCTTAACCTTTCTAAGTCTCCTTATCCTCCAGGTGGAGTCCATATCTTGATATTTCATGGGGGTCTCATGAAGATCAAATAAATCAATCATAAATGTTTGAAATAGTGCCTGGCACATACTGGATGTTCAGCAAATGTAATCATAGTGCAAGTGCATAGATTTTAAAAATAATGCTCCCAAAATCTGTACAGTAAAAGCTCCGAGGTTTTGCACATCCTCAACTGATGCGCTCAGACTCAGGAAGGGCTTATTGTATCTCCTGCCTCTCTTTAGGATTCACTTCCAGATCCCACTCTTAATTCTGTGATTAGAAGAGTAGCTGGCACTGGCAGGACTACTCCAAGGGCAACCTTTCCTCCTCTAAGGGGATAATAAAGCAAAACCTGCCTGAATGTGCCATACTTGATACAAACTGCCAACACTCGAGCCCAGTAGTGGCGAACCTATGGCACAGGCACCACAGCTGGCTGTTTGTACCACTAGAAGCTCTAAAAGGTTCATCACTACTCTAGGATGTAAACTGCCCACATTTGGGCCAAGTGACACCTTCCTAAGAGAATATGATTGTTTTAAAAGTTATCAGCAGGCTCAAAACTGCTTAGCATTGCATGGTGAATCAGTGTGGCTGTATTCCACATCTGTAGGCCTCTAGTAGTGTGCAAGCTACCCCCGGGGATGCTAGTCTGTCCTATCTGTGCAGAGAGTAGCATGTGTCTAGAACTCCCTGAGCCTGGGACTCCCTCAGTGTTTAGCAGGGCTCCCTTGGGCAAAGGGACTGCAGATCATCTCCAGGCTTGGACAGGCATGGGCAGATTGGGAGGGATGGGGGTGAGATACAGTGGGCCACCTACCAGCTTCCCCCGCTGCTGTGCGGAGCGGCTGTCCCGCAGTGTGTACACGTTCCCGCAGACTGAGATCTCCCGCCAGACACCCGGGGCTGAGTCCTCGGAGAAGCCGCCCGCAGGGTGCATCACCAGCACCCCATTGGTGGTCAGGCCATCCATCAGGCCATCGGGGGTCCGCCATTTGGCTGCCCGCTCCTGGGACCACACGAGGGATCAGATCACATCCCTGAGTATCCCCTAGTAATCTGTGTGCTAGAGGTGGCTTCCCCTTTACCCTCAGTTCAGAGGTGGCCCCAAGAGGGGGCTGCTAAGCCCTGTATGGCACAGTTAGGATAGTTGTGGGCTGGCCCTTCACTCTAGACTGCTGTACCTCCCAGCCTCCCCTTTGGCTCACTCTCTGATGAAGAGCTGGTCCCTGCCTGGGGGCTCACTCACTCCAAGGAAGATATTGCTGGAGGTGTCAAAGCCAGCCGCATAGATACGAGCAGTGTAGGGCGGCCTTCGTTCACACAGGATGCGGCAGGCATAGCGAGAAATGGTGCTCTGGGCAGAAGGGCCCTCGGCAGCACTTCCTCCAGGGGATGTATCTGTTACCACAAAGTCGATCATGTTCTCCGTAGAGCGGCCAATCTGCAACAGAGGTGAGGGAAAGCACACTTTATACGCTTACATGTGTATAGACGAATCTCATCAGCTTCCACCTCAGAGATTAAGCAGCTGCCGTGCATGCAGGGCTACCAAACAATGAGGCTACCAGGCCTCACAGAGAGGCAGTACCATCCCAGCTTCTGAGGCCTTTTGGGCTCACAGTTGGTGTCTCTGTATCCAATCAGCTGTGGTCTAAAGCTTCCCATTTTCTATTACTTCTATATACGGTTCTTGGGAGCAACCTACTCAGTAAAAACTAGCCATTTTGCTGACAGTGAGAAGGTGACACATAGAAAAGCTAAATACTAGCAATAAACAGTACATTGTTAGTTAGAAATTACTACACAGTAAGCATTTTTAGCTATAATACCTCAGTTAATCCTGGGGTGGGTGCTAATCATGGGCCCCATTTACAGATAAGAAAACCAAGGCCCAGACAGGAGGTGTGTCCCACCTGTGGGCTACAGGATAAATATACATGGCTACCAGAGCCACAGTGAGTGACAAGACATTGTCTTGGGCCACATATAAAATATACAATATTGACAATATATATATAAATAATAAGGGGCTGGGGAGCTAGCTCACTAGAATAAGTGCTTGCCTGGCAAACACAAAGGCTTGAATTCAATCCCCAGTTTTGCCAAAAAAATAAATTAAAAAAAAAAAAAAACACTTCCTTAATTTAAAATTATTTTTATAATAATTATAACTCAGGCATGCCCAACCTGCACACTACAGGTTGCATATGCCTGATTTCTTGCCCAGTTAACCAGTGGTAGGCAATGGAGCTGGCATCTGAATCTAGGCATGATGACTCACACCAGCCCTCCAATCTCTCAAGCCGTATGGCCTCCTGCTGGCTGATCATCTTGAGTCTGAGCTTGACATAGCTGCTGACTTGCTGTGGGATGTTTTCAGTGGCCCAGCCAGGGCATCCTGCATCTTCACCTGAAGAGCAGTCCACTGCACTGAATGCTCTGAAGCACCCTTCCCATGGCCATCAGGCCTGTGACCTTACCCTGAGTGCCTGCAGAGCTGAGCCCAAGAGCCTGGCAGAGGGGATGAACATACCTGGAACATGTCTGTGTCACTGTCATGGGTGTACTCCACTATAACCGAGTGGCTCCGGGACAGTGTGTATGAGATACTGTGCTGGCCTCGGTTACTCAGTGCCTAATGGAAAGAAAGAAGTCATTTCCTATAGGCTAAGTCATGAGGAGTATAAGCTTCTGATCCAGAAACAAGCTCAGGGCTCAGTGTCCATTCTTGGAAAAGAGCCATTCTGTGGTCTACAGAGGTAACTGAGTAACAGGTGCAAAATTAATCTTCCAGTTACCCCAAGAATGGCTTATTGTTTTCATTTTACAGCTAAGAGAACTATAGGCTAGAGAGAACTGGCCTAATGCCACATAGCTGGACGTAGAAGGAGTTGATTGCTACTCTAATCTTCTAAAGCCAAAGCTTTCCCTTTGCCATTGCTGTATGACTGTCCCATACTGCTTTTGCAAATTTAGCTGCCTCTAAAATGATGTTCATCATTTCTATGAATTAATAGGGTCCAGTGGTCAAGGAAATGTTTTGCAAATTACAAAGGATAGTGCACACTGCAAAGGATTTTCCATCACCCTCTGGTTGTACTACCATCTGGTAGTACAACAGGCAGTGAAGGGATGACACTGAAAGCTCCCCTACTCCAGTGGGGCTGTGGGCAGGTAGGTCTGGAAAAGCTGAACCCCTGGCTGTGGGGCAGCACCCTGTCAACTGGGATAAGCAGCTTGCCTTGGACACGAGCGGCGTGGAGATGTGGTGCATAACATCTGGCTTCACTCCATTGGCATGTGGACGGCGGCTCAGTGCCAGGCGGCTTCGCCGGCGGCCCTTGTCCCCACTTGCCAGACACCCGTTGTAACTATGGATATAAGGGTTAAAAAGAAATGGTTTGAGGGGAAGAAAGAGAAAGAGAAAGTGAGCCCCTGATCAGATTTGGAGAAAACTACCCACTCTTGGCAGATCCTACCTTGGTTAGGAACGCCCACAACTAGAAGACCCTACAAAAGTAAATCCATGGGATTGGGGAGATAGCTCAGTGGCATAAGCACTTGTTTGGCAAGTGCAGGGTCCTGAGTTTGATCCCCAGTATATATATATATAAAAGAAAATAGCCAATTCATTTATGGGGTAAGTGTTTTTCATTCCATTAGCCAGGTGCCTCCTGAATGCCCAGAGAGATGCTGAGTGCTGAGGCAGTAGAGGTAATGAACTACAGACCAGTTTTGTGTCTTCATTGAAGGGGGAGCCCCAGCTTCTCAAGGAACCCAGGTACCACCTGTCATGGCCCAGACACGATACTGGCCCTTGAATCGGGTTTCTAGGAAAGGAAATACCTATATTTGGCCTTGATGAACTGTAAAAGATTCACCTATAGTACACTATCATTTATTATACCACTGCAAGAAAACAAAATAAAAGAAAAAAAAACAGACTCACAATGCTACTGCCTCCATTATCTCCATATATTTTCACCTTCCTTTCAAGCTCTTGTCCAGAGGGAATGATCACAAGAGGCAAATGTGGGGTGAGTCAGAGCCTTGATTGTTGCCATGTACTGCTGCCTCTGTGTTCCCAGTCCTTCACATTAATTACCTAATGGAATCTATGCAATGTCCTGCCAGGCAAGTGTCTTTCTTCTGATTTTACAACTGAGACAAATCGAGGCTCAGGAAGGTAAAATGACTTGCCTCATGGTTACAAAGTGAAAAAGTCCAGATTTGAGCTCAGGTCTCCCTGACTCCAGACTTGAAGAAGCTAGTAGAGATAGAGGGCTTGTTCTGAGCAGAAGTCCCATGGCGGGCAGAATGTGGTGAGATGGGGGATTGTTGAGTTGGGTGGAAAGGTACAGAAAGATGAAGTTGGTGGAAAGCAGCTGAACAACAGGCTCAGAACGTTATGCTGTAAATAGTGGGGTGGTACAGGAGGTTTTGAAGCAGGAAGTGATAGGATAAATAACTACAAATACAGACAAGGATCACTTGAATCAGTCTCCTGATGAGTTTGTTAAAATCCATACTCTCTGGTCCCACCTGGGCAGATTCTGACTCTGTAGGTTTGGGGTGTCTGCTAATGTGTCTCTTCAGTGCACTCTCCCAGTAGTTCTGATACATAACCTGAGTGGGGTGTCTCTCCTCTGCACAGGACAGACAACTGTCAAGAGGGCCCAAATGCTTAGGGATGCAATGACACCCCCCCCAACATTCCATCACTACCTTTGCCCTTTGCTAGAAAGTCCACCAATCCTTTGGGCCACTAAGCTCTGCTTTGACAGAGCAATAACCCCTAGGGGGGCATTGCTTTTGCTTTTTGAACTCTTCTTGTGTAGTGGGAAGTATTCTAGGCACAGGAATTAGATATACCTGTATTAAATCTTGACTAATTCCTCCTGTGCCCTCAGAGTGCATTTTTCAGGATCTATGTCACAGGCTTATTTTGAGATAAAAATTTTCAAATGCTTGGCATATGGACTGGAGATGTGGCTCAGTGGTAGAGTACTTTCCTAGCATGTGCAACACCCTGGGTTCTATCCCATCTCCACGAAAATAAATAAATATTAAAAATGCTTGGCACAGAGTTTGCCATAGTTACAGCAAGCCCTTCATAAATGTTAGGTAACCTTTATTTTTAAAGCACACAGCATGTAGCAGTCAATAAAGAGTAGTAAGTATGATCCCTTAATAATCAAAATCATGGGCTGGGTGTGGTGGTGCACAACTGTAATCCTAGCACCCAGGAGGCTGAGGCAGGAAGATCATTGCGAGTTCAAGAGCAATCTGGGCTGCAAAGTGAACTTAAGGTCAGCCTGAACTGTATAGGGAGACCCCATCTCAAAAAGACAACATTTTTTAAAAATCATAATCATGACTCTTATAGCCTATCAAGTTGTTCCTTCAAGACTGATGGTAGAAAGGCCAAAAGAAGACACAGATGAGGTGGGGAAGAAGAGAGATACGGGTCTAGGGAAAAAGCTGCTTGGGAGGTACAGGGATCACTTCAGACAAAGACCACGAAGGGATAAGATCTGTCTAGCTACCAATTCCCTTGGCTTCCTCTCTCCTGGTCTCAACTGTAGTGTGAGGGTAAGCCATGGCTTAGTGACAGTACACTAGACCTGGAGTAAGAAGGACCTGGATCCAAATCCCAGCCCTGCCACTTACCAGCTGTGTGCCCTTGGGCCAGTCACTTCCCCTCTCTGAGCCTCGGTTTCCTCACCTCCTTCCTCACAGCATCTTTGTGAAGATTGAAATGAAATAATGTCCATGAAAGGGCTTGGCACAGGCCTGCCTCCCTGAACACTTGATATACACTGGGTGCTGTCTCATGTGCTTTACAGCAATCACCTCATTCCTTCCTTCTGACAACCCTCTGAAGTAGGGATTATTATCATCACTATTAGAAAAGGGGGGAATCCAAGACCTAGGGTAGTTTGGCAACTTGCAGAGGCAGGATTATCACCAATCAGTTTGGCTGCAGAACTAGAGTTCTTCACCCCACAATACACACACTTGGTGCTTTACAAAAACAGCTGGTGTTACCTTTTTCTCATCATCTGATCAAGAAATTTATAAGAAATAGGAAGATAAAGTAATCATTATGAATCAGGGTTGGTTTGGTCAATTGTGTCTTTCAGCTGGGAAGATAATGAGGTATAAACAGCAGAAGGTCCTGGTCCCTACATGGGGGGCTGGGTCCCTCCTTACAGCTGCCCCCTGGGTTCCTGATGCCCCGCCCTCCTGGGCAGGGACGCTCACCCCAGGACGATGAGTTCGCCATACTTGATAGGCTCTTCACCAGGCTGTGCACCTTCACCAGGAGAAGAAAGGAAGCAAGAGCCATTGTTCCCGGTATGCTGGAGATCTGAGGTTCGGGGGGACCCCACTTCAGGATTTCCCTCCAGCACCATTCTGGGAAGAGCAACAGAGGAGAAAAGGGTTTCACAAACCACCCCAACCCCAATCCTAGTACTGAGACTAAGTTGGAAGTAGCTTTTCACTAGCACTATTGCTATGGTAACCATTCACCTCTGCCACCCCTAAACTGTCTCCCAAACTGACACTAGAGAAGGGAGATGTGTGGGATGCAACACAGAGAGAGGTATGACAGAGGCAGAAGATCAGGGCATCTGGTGGGGCCAAAGGAATGGACTGACTTGGGAGTGGCCAGAAACTCCTTTCTCGCCAAGATCCCAGTCTGGGAAGTGCTAGAAACAGGATCAATCCAGGAGTTGAGAGCCCTTTTTAGCCCTAAACTCAGACGGTGTTCCTGGTTTAAGCTCTTAGTCTGAGTTGCACTCAGTCAGGCTCTTGGGCTCTATTTGTCCACTGTAATCTTTCTGCCCCTTTGCAGGTGTAGGCCTCTGTCAGCTTCTCAATGACTCTCTGTCCTCCCAGCGCTGTCCTTTTCACCATCTCTTTCCATCCTCCTCCCTTCCTGCGATTTTTTGCCTGCCTCTATTTCGACATCCATCTGCCTCAGTCTCCCTATCATGGCCTCACCCTGAGGGCAGGCTTCGGGATCCCACATGAGTGACCCCCTCCCTCCCTCCCACCCGCAGGTGTCTGTCTGCGGTCCCCAGGGTTCCCGGGTCTCCCGAGGCCTGTGGGGGGCGGAGCTCCCCCTCGGGTTTAGGCTGCAGCAGAGCTGGTCTCCTGCAGGCCGCCTGTTTGGAAAACATCCCGAGGCCGAAGGGACTGCGCTAGGCAGGCCGGCGCCCGGGGCGGGCAGGAAGACGGCCCAGGGCATACGCAGATACACACAGACACGCGCATGCACATAGCCCCGTATGCCTGGAGCTCCGCAGGCAGTGCCTAGATCGGCGCAGAGCCCAACCCGGACCGCAGCACACGAGAACAGTCACAGGCGCCGGCCTCGGACCCACTCCCCGCGCCAACCCCCCGACACGCAAACACGCCCCCCGCGCCCGCCCGGCGCAGCCCCCGCCTCTTGCGCCTCGGCGGCCTCACCTGGCCACGCTCTGCGCCTCACTTGGCGCTGCTCCCTCCCCTCCTCACCCCTGCTGGGCCCCGGGGCCGTTGTAACGGGATAGGCCCGACCCAAGGCGGCTCCGCGCTGCCTCGTCACAGGGACACCGGGGGCCAGCGGAGGAGGGGATGCGCGCGAACCGCCACGCTCCTCCCCCTGTCCCGATGCCCCGCCCCGTTGACTCCGCCCCCACGGGACGTTCGGCCCCGCCCCTTGCGGTTTAGCCTGGGCGGTGAAGCCACGTCCCTCTCAGAGGTCACGCCCCTCCCCGGGCTCCGCCCCCGGGTTAGGGAAGCCCGCCCACCACTCCTTGTCCTCGGCTCTTTCTCCTCCCGGCTGGTTTAGAGACCCACTCCTGGTGTACGAGTCCACTTCCCGACTCTTCCGTCTCCACTCCCACTTCTGGGGATTCTTAGAGATCCTGAAACCCTCTCCTTACGATAGGCCAAGACTCTCACCCAAGGCCGGCGTCTGGGACTCCTCACCCCCTGCCCGGCAACCCAGCCGCCCAAATGGGAAAGTCGTAGAATTAGAGGTTGAAAGCAGGAACGTTCTGTAGGAGGCAAAGGAGGGTGTGCGTCTCAGCGATGGCGGCCTAGGATTTATCTGCAGTAGGGCAGGGTCACCGACCCATCTTCCATCCCAGGGGGACTACTTTCTTACAGGGTGGCTTGCAGAGAAACCCACTGTGTCTCCTCTCCCCCTGCCACCACGCACACACTGCGTATGGTGACACAATGGGTAAAGAGAGCTTTCAGAGATGTGTAGTCCCTCTTAGTATGCGGCTTGCAGGGGATCTTGTCTGTCCATCTATACCAGGCCTTCTACTCCAGCTTTAAGCAAATTAAACCCTCTAATCCCTGGGAGGCAAGCATGGTAGTTGCCCATTTTTATAGAGAAGGAAACAGTTACAAAAATGACTTTCCTTATGGTTATTTTAGTAGAGAGGGGATCTGAGTTGCCCAGGTTGGGCTTGAATTTGTGGTCCTCCTGCTTCAGCCTCCTAGAATACTTGGACTGCATTTCCAACTCCATTTACTCTTCTTCGAGGTGTGTATTTTATGAGGAAATCAAGGAAGCTTGCACAAAGGCAGTGGTCTGTGGCTTTCATCAGCAGGGATTACTGGGAGTTGGTTAGTATATTCCTGAGGGGGAGCATCTGCCAATCTCTGCTTTTCCTAACTCTTTGTGTGTCAATCTCCCAACCTCCCTGGCCCAGCTTGCCCTCCCGTTAACTCCACCTGCTTGGCTTCTGGTTCTAAACTGCCAAGAACTCCAGTTTCTTAATTTCTCTAGGCCTCAGTTTTCTAATAATAGTACCTACTTGTGGTGGGACACAATTTTGCAATGTTGTTCTGAAATCCTTTCATTCAGTACCACCCTTCACTGTCTTCAATATAAATTTGCCCCTATTGCTTGAAAGAAAAGGACAAAGAAAGGAATAAGACACACACAAACTACACTTCTTCAATTTCTTCTTCTTCTTCTTCTTTTTTTTTTTTTTTTTTTTTTTCTTCTTCTTCTTCTTCAATTTCTTCTTCTTCTTCTTCTTTTTTTTTTTTTTTTTTTTTAACTGGGAATTGAACTCAGGCCTCTGCACTTGCCAGGGAAGCACTTATTCAAATGAGCTATCTCCCCAGCCCCTTACTTCTTCAATTTCATAAGTTCTTGGGTTCAAGTGCCTGAAGGTGAGAAGAATCTTGATTTATCTAGTTGAGAAAGAATGTTAAAAAAACACAACAAAAATCAACAGCCACAAACCCTGGACTAGGAGATTTGGAAGAGTCAGGAAGGGCCAGGTGCTGGGCTGTATCCTTGGACATTTGTGGGGGGACGAGGCTAGACTTGGGAAAAGATGGGAGTAGAACGCTCAAATAGATGGGGATCCAGTAGAGGAGACCTGGCCTCACTTTTCAGGCTCTAGCCTCAGTCAAAATCCCCTGGAGCACAAAATAACAATATGATTACTTTGTGCAGCAGCCACCATTTAGTCCATGGAGTCCTGGATGTGGCAAAAGCTGTAGAATTTCTCTGCCTAAAAATGTAGCCTACTGCATGCCTGTAATCTCAGTCTCAGAGGTTGAGGCAGGAGGATTGCAAATTCAAGCCCAGCCTGGGCAAATTAGCCAGAACCCATATCGAAATTTAAAAAATAAATAAAAATTTAAAATGGAGTGGGTATGTACCTTAGTGTTAATGTTCTGAGTTTAATATCTAGTACTGGAGGGGGGGGAAGGACAAAACTGATGGGTTATAAAGGGATTGCACAGCTGATAAAAGGGAGGCTCAAAGAACCTAGAGAGATTGACAGTCTTAGGCTAGCAATGGGCAGGTAGCAAGGGTGAGAGTCAGAGTCTTGTGGCACAGATTTATGCACCTCTCTCTGTCCAGTGCCCTGATGCTAAGGAAGTGTCCTGGGGTCAGAGAGGCCATTTCAAGGAGAAGCAAAGGGAGGAGGGTGGACGACTTAGAAGTACTGAGTTTAAACTTGAAATGACAGAAAAAAGCTGAAACATACTGGACTGTACTGTCTACCAACAAGTAAGTGAGGACTGAAAGAGAGACATTTGGTTTTAGAACAGGTTAGTAGGGCATTTGGAAGCCGATTGGATCATGGGGAAGCTATACTCTTCAGCTCTGGATTCATTTAGTCGTCATAGATGAATGTACTGTTAGGAGGTGAAGCCTACTTGGAAGAGGGAGGGTGTGACCTGGGCAAGTGTATTCTTGTCATTCTTGTCACAGCTCTGTCTCTGTCTCTGTCTCTGTCTCTGTCTGTCTCTCTGTCTCTCTGTCTCTCTGTCTCTCTCTCTCTCTCTCTCTCTCTCTCTCTCTCTCTCTCTCTCTCTCTCTCTCTCCTGATTCCCCATGAGTACAGCAGCTTCCCTCTACCGTGTCATTTCTGCCTTACAGCCAGCTGACTGTAGGTTGAACTCTTGGAGGCCATGAGAGAAAATAAACCTCCCCTCCTTAAACTGTGAGTTCAGATATTTTGTCCCAGTAACAGGAAAGTGACTGGACATGCTGCTGTTAGCACAGGGAAAACCTGGCCTAGCTGAAAGGCCAGCATGGAGTGGGCTGGTGAGACTGTGTGGGCCATGGGTCAGGGTGAGGGAGCTGAGCTTGCTGATGAAGCCAGGGATGGTGGACAGGGTAGCAGACCAGGTGCACAGAGAAAAAAACATCATGAAAGGGGCCAGGAGGGTCTTTAGAGCTTCAAAACCTAATGGTTTTGTGGTTTATTCATTTCTTTATCTCTTCATCAATAATGATATTTTTAAGGTTCCTTCCTCTGGTGTGAAAGAGAAGCAGGAGAAAAGTAAAGAAATTCTTTATTGTTTGGCATGGGAGGGCTGCTGAAGAGAACTCAGGTCCCTCAGGGAGGAGGCAGGTAGACAAAGGAATTTATCTGGCTGAGTTTGGGCAGAGTTTGCACGGGCAGTGTGGTGTCATAACAGGTGCTGATTGGGGAAGACTTGGGGCATGTGAAAAACAAAAGAGGAAGTTCAAGGTTAACCAAGGGGAAGAAGATGGAGTTAGTCCAGGAGCAGAACATCATTGTTCTGGGGTCCCCGCGCTATGCTGACTTGCCACCATGATGACCCAGCGGATCTTTGCATGGGTGCAGATCCATCAATACTGAAAGGGAAAAACTGTACAAGAGAAATTGTTTTGTCATTTTGAAACTTCTCAGCTCTGTAACTTTCATGGTTTTGTAATTATGTTCTTGACCCCTGCAACCATGAGAGTGTAACCAAATGTACACACCTGATTGTATCATCATACCAAAGTCCATAAACTGATGATCATTAATCTATCCTTGTGATCAGTGACTTCACCCTGTTAGCTAATCAGAAGAACTGCCAGGCTGTTTGTCCCATGTCACCTGTGTAACTCCTGTTTGTGCATCATATAAAAGCCCTAGGCCACCAGATATGAAAGCCTGATATTCTGGGAATGATCCCAATCAGTGCCCGTTGATGTAAATAAATCTGCCTCCAAGTCCTGGGTGTCATTTCAGTGTTTCTGCTTGCTGTTATAATATTAAGTCCTGCTTTGGTGCATTCTGATGAATGCACTTCTCCTTAATCCTCACAGATGCACTCCGAACTATCTCTCTAAATCTAGCCAAATGGAATGGGGGTACTAAAGAGCCAACTTGGGTCAAACACCTTTTGTCTGCTAGGAATTTGCAAATGAACAAGATGCATCATTTTGGGGAATCTCCCAGGCCAGTGCAACTGCTTTCTAAATCTTTCTTGGGCATGAGAATTGGTAAGAAATACATTTAATTTAATTTAATTTTTAATTTTTTATAATCTTTATTTTATTTATTTGGTACAGGGTCTCACTATACAGTTCAGACTTATAGTGATCCTCCTGTTTCAGCCTCCCCAGTGATGGGATTACAGGCATGCTCCACCACATCCAGTTTTGGTGGTTTGCATGGCATACAGTACCAAGGATTGAACCTGGGTCCTTGCACTTACCAGACAGGCACCTAGACCACTGTGCTATCTCCACAGCCCAAGAAATACATTTTATATCAACAGTGTGATCAGATATGTACACCCAAATGTAAACACAGGGAAGCAGGTTTCACAAGATAGTTCATATCCTTATGTGATATACTCTGTTACTTTTAATTCATTTTTTTCTGAGCAAAACTTTTTTCCAATCTGTAGGCTTTCTTTTCACTCTGTTGATTGTTGTTGTTGTTGTCATTGGTGTTTGTTTTAGTTTTGCTCTGCCAACACTTTCTAATTTGATATGATCCCATTTGTTGAGTCTTTTTTTTTTTTTTTTTTTTTTTTTCAGTAACTCAGGACCCTGCGCTTGCCAAGCAAGTGCTTATTCTACTGAGCTATCTCCCGGCCCCCCATTCATTGATGTAATGACCTTTTTTTAAGTTAGAGGAAAACCATGCGGTGAGGCGGGTCAAAGGTGGTGGAGAACATGGGAACTCCCTTAGGTGGGCATGAGGAGGGACAAAACTATGGTCAACCAATGAGATTACAAGCACCATTGCTCAGGTAAAATAGATTAAATCCAATACCAAATGGGGAAGCGAGCCACGTAGCAAGTGGGCATGAATACAGTACAGGGTCTCTTCCTGTTGGG